AGCTATCTGTAGTGCAGTGGTCCTGCTCTCTCTAAGCTATCTGTAGTGCAGTGGTCCTGCTCTCTCTAAATTCTGTTTTGTTGTCCCTGAATGATGGCTGTCTCCTGTTTGGGGTCTGCTGTTGTGTTTTGCTGCCCAGAGACAGCAGGTGGACAGACAGCCCCCATGGTGGGACTGCTGAAAGTCTGCCTGCCTAAAAATACAACTTTGGCTCCATCGGAAGGAGGCCGAGTTGATATACGCTTTAGGGAGCTAGAGCAACACAGCCTTGGATGACCGACGTGATTCCCCTGAATTGCTGGCTAAACACATCAGTGAAGTTCTCCCCTCGCTGATATCGTCCTGATATGTCTTACTTATCCCACTGGATTGTTATGTGTTAGTCATTTTTCCAGTGCTTACTGTTGTTAAGCAAATGGAAACGGTCCTTTCGGAACATATCATAATAATAGGACACCACTCCCAGAATGGACTCAAAATACACCAGCAGACTATACACCCAGTTTGTTTTCTCAAGACATAAATGACATGCATGTTTTCACAATCTGTTCTTAGGCTTGGAAAAGCAGGCGTTTCGAACAGCGCTGAAGTGAGGAAAATGGGCCTTCTTCATCCCTGAGCTGGAGATTCCTGTAGAGATGCACGGGAACTGGAAATAAGATCCCTCTGCAAGGGTCACAGCCCCTGCACAGCAGCCACGGTCTTCAGGTCTCTCTCAGTTGTGGGATGGGTTTTAACCGGCTGTGGAGATTAAACTCGTATCCTTGGGGTTTTCAGAACCGGTATATTCAGGAGATGAGATGTAGTCATGTTCTGGACCATTTTCAACCTTCCGGAACGTGGCTGGGCTGCTGTGTGAGAAGGAAGAGTGTCGTGAAGATTTGGAGAAGAGCTACAACCCCTGTCTGACTGTGTCAGCCTCTGTGCTCCTGTCTCACTGTCTCAGCCTCTGCGCCCCTGTCTCACTGTCTCAGCCTCTGCGCCCCTGTCTCACTGTCTCAGCCTCTGCGCCCCTGTCTCACTGTCTCAGCCTCTGCGCCCCTGTCTCACTGTCTCAGCCTCCGCTTAATGTTAGAGTTGTAATGAGGGAAATGACACAGCACAGCCTACAATTAATTGTTGTGTTTGGAATGGCCCTGTAATTGAGCGATTACCATTGGTTGAATGTCGGTGTGTCTCCAGTTCTGATGCAGTGTTCACTTTTTTGGCTAGCAGTAATGCTGGCATAATGAGTATTGGGGCAACCAATGAGCTGCACCTCAGCAATTCTCAGCATCAGCAATTTATGCTGATTATGTGCTTTTGTTTTATTTTCTTATTATACTTGCTGAACAGGCTGGAACGCGAACTTTTTCAAATTGGTTCAAATTTTTATTTAGGCTGTTTAATATTTATCTGGCTCCAGACTTTCACAGCTGAATGTTGGAATTACACATGGCTCGATTTAAGCTGTTGTTCTTGGCTTGGAGTTTATCCCAAGCGAAACAACTTTTAAACGCTGTGTTTTTTCGAAAATGCGTGCTGAAATGCTGCCAGCTGATTCAGGGAAGTTACATTTGCTGCCTCGCATTCATCCTGCATCTGCTGAGATCTAAACAAGCCCAGTAATCTGAAGTTTGTCTCCCTGTTGAGTTAGGCAGCGGCTCTCAGAGCACTCTCTGTCCAGCCGCCTCTCGGACACGGAAGTGACGTAATCTGTGCCAGGCTGGTATTTTTAGAAGTCAGATTGGGAGCGGAACAGCTCTTTCCTTGGCCGTAATGAATGCCTTTTCCTTCTCTTCGCTCTGCGGAGCTGGCACGCGAGTCAGGCGTTGACGTCTCCAATGCCGCCACTCCTGAATTCCCATGCGGCCAGGGAGCGGGGGAAGTGAACTTCGAGAGCGAAAGGCATGTTTGGGAACCGTTCGGACGGTCGAAGCAGGAAATCCCAACTTGGCTCCTGCCGCTTGCTGGGGTGGGGGTGTGGTTGGGACCTGTGACTTTTTCCCTCGCTCTCCCCGTATTTCAGTTTATGGCACCCTAGGATGGAGCTGCCCCCCCCCCCTTCCCAAGGGAGGTGGTTGACAGGAAGATTTTGAGTCGGCGCTCATTCAAGTCATATAGTTATGACTCTTTCGTGCTGCGTTTGAAAGATTACACTGGTGTTTTGTGATTTTGTGTCCTACAAAATGAAAGTTATTCTTGAATGGGGATTGGCTAACTAACAACGGTGTCTCCCAGAGTCAATACCACGTGGGGCCAGATGTGAGGGGGCCCCCTTTCTGGAATGCGGGGTCAGGATGGCAGGTGGGCGACCAGGCGAACAAAGTGAGCCGCTACCATCCGGAGCCTGACACGGAACTTCCCGGCCGAGCCACACGGGTCACAAACAGGATGAGCCGATGAGTGACAGGTTGCATCCCCAGTACTGGTGTCTGTGTGTTTCCAGCAAGAGAGGAAAAAACACAACATTAAGCTGCACTGGGTGTAAAGGACACGTAGCGTTTCCAGAACCCCTTTCCTCTGGCCGACCTCATCCCTGTCATTCTCCACTGGTGCTGTACGGTGACTCTGTGACAGCTGAGGGTCTGGGTGGTTCATTGTTCCCTTTAAATGGCCCCGTCCAGCCTGATTTGTACACCCAGTACTGTTTCCCCCACCCTGACCAGGCGTGACATACAAACTCGCTGACCTGCAGCTACCTGAAAACCCTTAAACACCAGCAGCTTCTCGCTCTCCGTGGTTCGCTTACGTGATCTTTATGGCCCTTGTGGAAAAGGAGGGGGGGTCCCCTTGTGGGCTCGGTTTCAGGAGTGGCTGTGTTGTTTTCACACCTCGCATCCTGCACCATGTTCAGCTGTCTGGGCTGCCGTCTCCTGAGAGATGGTCAGGGTCCGTGCCCATCTCCGGCATGACCCCAGACAACTTCTGTCACATCTGTGTCATAGACCCCAAGAAGCCGGCCACACCTCTGCCTGCCGCTTCTGATCCGTCTGGCCCGTTTGCAGCTGTGTCTCCGCTGACTCTGCATGTTCCCTCTCACTTCATGAATGTTAAGGATGACCCCGGTTTTCACTATGGTATATTTGATTTCATACTTTCCCAACACGTTTTAAGTCCTTGTACTTACTATTACTTAAATGTATTTATCTATAGATCCATGAGAAGATCATTCTGTCAGTGCTATGACCTTTTGTAGTGATCGGATAAAGTAATAAGTGCTATACCATCATAATGGAGCCCTGGATATTTTAAGGTGCCAGACCCAATGGTTTTGTCGCTCAGACAGAGACTAATTGCCCATCTCTCTGCCTCAGTCCCTGGACTTGGCGTAATCGGTCGGCCGTTTTTGTCTGAAGCACCCGCTAAAGGTTCCCCCGTTTTCACCACTCAAATCTCCCATGGTCTGAATAGGCTGCCAGCAATTCATAGACAACAACATGAAACTGACCTGTTGACCAGCCGCTGCCTTTCCAGCTTAATTGGCTTAATCTACTGTATGAACTGGAACGGCGAGGGCTGGACCCTTCCTGGTTTTGTTAAAAAGCTCGACCCCCCCAACCATCTTCCACCGGGCGCCAGCAGCATGAGCTTGTTAGTTCCATCCTAAAAGCCGTGAAAAGGGTCCCCTCATAATGGGAGATCGCAGACAGCTGGCCCAGCTCCGCCCTGCCCGTTCCGACACCGCGGTGTAGCCTGCTCTCACTGCACCTGGTTCTCATGTGGGCATCGTGTGGGCACCTCGACGGCACTGAATACCTCCCTGTGGTGCATGGAGGCCGTCTGACAAGCTTGATGCGCTTTTCATCCCTTACTATCTCTGCTATTAACACACTGATGTGACGTGAGAGTTTGGCACCTTACAAATGAGCATTGAGCAGGGCTAGAGGCTGCACTGGTATCTGAGGCTAAAGATTTTTCTATTCGCATCACTCACTGCAACATGGATGGGTGGGACGGAGGGGTGGGAGCAGACATCATGCAGCCGGTGCTCCTCTCAATTCTGACAGTCTGAGCGTGAGTGGCGGACAGAAGGGAAGATGAAATGGGCACACTGCCTAACTGCAATTACTGTCAACGCACAACTTCTGCCTGAAAGTATCAACACTGGCATGACTAACAGTGCTTTCTTTTCCTGCTGGAAACCTGAAGTGTTGTTTGGCGGTGAATCTTGCCAATTCGGTTGCCAAACTCAGTCATGAGATGGACATGAATTAGTATTCGGTGCAGCGTTTCCCTACCCAATTCCTGCTAGAGTGCATCCTGGCTGTTTGGAGCATTTATCCCAGATAGCAGCGTGCAGAGAAGTGCAAGTCCTGCAAGACTGGACAGGAGCCACAGTGTGTCCCAGCCCCAAGTCCAGCAGATCATTCTGGGTATATAGTGTAACATGTCAGCTGGAGAATTTAAGATTTCTTTGGCATGATTTTCTCACAGAAAGTGAGTAGGAGGGTGCCCCTTGTCCCTGAAAGCATTACCTGCAGGGATTGTCTGCTCTGCCTTCTCTCTTACACGATCATTGGTTAAATAAGTTAAAAAAGAGTGACCAGTACCACGGGCACGGTCTCTGAGATAAATCAGCCCCTGTCTGCATAAAGTGTGAACATGCTGGTGACCTGTAACCTGACAACAGGGTCTGTGAGCTGCAGCATCACTGAAAGCGTGGAGAGGCGTGGCGGCTTCCTACCTTGTGCAGCCACTGCGTGTTGTTCTCCATGATGGTCTCCAGCTGCTCCAGACGCTGCATAGAGTCTTCACCCTGCGCGGGCTGGTCCTCCTGGGGCAGCTCGCTGGCTGGCGGGCAGGTGTCCGTCTCGGGCAGCAGGAAGGTGTAGCTGCAGGGGCCGCTCTGGATGCGGTACTGCTTCTTCTCTAGGGTCCTCCTGAAGCTGGCCCCGAGCGTGAGGCTGCAGCTCACCAGCAGTGCATAGGCAGGCAGCATTCTCCTCTTCAGCTGCGTCAGTTTCCCTTTTCTGCTCAGTAAACAAAAGCGCTCCGTCGCACTCTGTCTCCCAGACAAGCGTCCTGGCCTCTGCAGCACTTACCCTGTGCTGTGCTTGCTTTTGTGGAGCTCTGTTTGTGCCCACCCCCACGTGGTGGGAGGAGCAGCCAGCTCTCGCCCCCCCCCCCTTTTAGTTTGGGGCGGGGGTTAGTTTTGGGGGGGGAGGTTAGTGGTATGTGAAGTGTGACCCCCCCCCCCCCGGCAGGACTGCAGTCAGGCAGGGCTCGAGGTTCCTGCGCGTCACAGGTCGGTGTCGGATGGGGAGGGGCCTCCCATATCCGGGGGCACTAATTAAAGGCTCTGTGTTCTCCTGTCCGCCAGCCACGTTCCCGCGCTGTGAGCGTTCCTCTGCAAAGCAAAGGGGGAAAGCGGAAGCTGTCATGTATATTGTCTGGGAGAGCACAGTCTTCAGTTCTTCCAGGATGCAGCTGGGCGACTCCCCTAAACTGGACCTCCCCCCCACCCAGGAAAGTCCCGGGCAGTACCCCCCATCACCTTGACTCTTCAAAACCGTCCTCTGCATGCTTTCAGAAGTTCAAGCTCCCATTTCCTGCCTGTTTCAGACACTGGTTGTTTCCAGGGCCTCTTATGGAAAAGGAGGGGGGGTCCTGTTTGCAGTTGGCTGGAGTCCTGGGGGGGATTAACACTTCATGTCATGCCGGTAAGCTTGCAGGAAGCCATTAGCACGTGACTGTTACAGTGACGCGTCCAGCTCTTTCGGGTGGCTTTCCCGGGCAATGCCTGTCTGCCCTGCGTTTTAACATCTGACCGGTTAGTCCTTCCACCATCAGTGAGGGCCAGAGCCTAAAACACACTGAGAGATGCCAGTCTGGGGCATGTGGGGAGTGGGGCAGTGCGATGTCTGTCCTGCATCTGCCTGTGAGCAGCATCCCGAACATGGGGGGGAAGATGAGGGCTCCTTTTCCATTTTGTCAGCTGCTGAATCTTCCCGAGAGATGACCTGTCGAGACAATGTCCTGGGCATGTTTGTCTGAGTCTGTTTGTGCAAAAAAACGGATACTGGGTTCATATTTACAGCATTATCAGTATTTGACATTTTGGGCTGCTTATATAGATGAGGTATCTGCCTGCTTGAGAGAGACGCCCCATCTGCTCCCATTTACAGAACTTCTGTGTATTGCCCACTGGCTTTGAGTTCCCAAAAAAAGTGATAAATTGCTAGTCAACCATCTCGGAAGGACCAGACGTGATTGTGTACAGAAGCTCCTGCTAGTCTCAATCGCCAATACCCTAAATTGCTTAAGGACTGGTCGCTATTTGCTCTCTCACAACAGGTGCGCTCTGGGGAAAGTGAATTGCCCATGGAGAACTCCGAGCAGCGAATAAGAATGTGGTGCAGCCTGTGTCTCACTTCATGCCAAACCAACCTGAAATCCATCTCGCGTATTCCTCAGGTGCATCCAGAATTAGCCTTTCATTAACAGGTCATTCAGGGGTTCTTCAGGCTGCAGCAATAGATGTCAAAACCGTGCAGGTTAAAGTGACCTGCAGCTGGCCCACTATCCCTGGGAGGGGTCCTTCTGCTGAACTTTACAGGGTGATCTAGCGGAGACTGACCAGGTGCAAACGTACGGATTGTGGGCCCGGTGTCAGAGTGATTAGTTTCAGCCTCCTGAGGGTGGGGAGATAGGCCTGCAGGTGAAGGTGTCCTGTCTTCCCCGAAGCCCCCCCGCCCCCCCACTGATTCATGCATGACGCAAAAGAACAGCTGAAATTGGGGGTGACACATTTTCTAAATTTTGTAATGCACATTTGCCATGACTCTGCAGGGGTTGTTTAGCAGATAATTCACTCCGTCTGATGGAGGTGAGGCCTGTCAGACACACTGCTATAAACAGGCTTTTGTGCCGTCAATTTCCTGCTGTGTTCCGGGGAAGGCGACGTCGTCGTCACTGTGCAGACTTCACAGGGCGAGGAGAGCCAGGTGTGTTTCACAGGAAACAAATCCAGTAGGATGTCTGGTCCCTGCCCCCAGGGATTTCTCACCTCCGTAGTTGTGCTTCCAGCTCCGTTTCCAGTTCTCACAACCCTTGAGCTTGTGTAGTGTTTTTCATCTTTGCCATTAAACCGCTGAACCCCTCCCATTACGCCTGCTGCTGTTTTAACATCGAAGTTCACTGGGATTTGTGTGTGGTTACGCTAACAGCAGCTCTGGTTACTGCGGTGAAATCACTGTCATCCCATGGTTCCCTCAAGCCTTTCACAGTACATATCAAGCCCTGGGGTTTGACCTCACAATGAAAATATTACATTAACAAAGAAAGCTTAATTAGCTTCATTCAGATCCTCCAAAATACCGACCTTCGATTTTATTTTGCCGCTTAATTTTGAAGGCAGCATTTATCTCTAGTTATAAAAAGTAATGTAGTGTAATGGAGGACTAATATCCATCAGATACAGAAAACTCCAGCAAGTCCTCACTGCTTTGCAGTATCCGACTCTTCTTGGATCTGCACTAGATTATCATCCTGTGAATTAAACCAGGTTCAGGGTTCTGCTTTAACTGAAATAATAAAAGCAAATGAAATTACTAAACTATGTTTACAATTTTACTACTAAATTCATTGCTGTTTGAGCAAAGTAGTAGATATCACTGCTTTTGATCATGTTTGTTTGGTTCTGCTTTGGATTAATAGTTAGTCTTCTCTAGAAGATTGTGGGTGCCCTCCCTTCACATGCACACGCTCGCAGGAAGCGGGGTGCTGTGTCTGTCCACGAGAGGAAGGCCCACGTGCACGGCTGCAGATGAGCCCAGAGGAAGGGCTGTGTCATGTCCCGACTCGTGACGGAGCGCTCAGGTGCAAGCGCTGACTCACCTTCCGTCTGACATTTGGGGATCGCATTCCGCGTGTTTAACGTCGCCGGAAGCAGCGGGAAGGAAATGACAGAATGTGCCATTTCCAGTGGAATTCTCAGCATTCAGAGTGCTGCTGTGCGGTGAGCCGCATTGTCTGCCTGTGCCGCTGCTGAGCTGCTTGGAGAGTTAGGGTGTGCTTACAGTCTGCCCCCTGATCGCTGGTAGATAGGGTATGCTGGAGAAATGTATTAAAGGCCATGGCTCATGGTCTGCAAACAGAGGTTCAGCTTATATGTCGCAGGTTGTGATTTGGGGTTTCTATGGGTATCCAAATGAATGTCAGCGTGTACTTAGGGGGCCTCAATGTTTTTATGGCACTAATGTAATGCGTTGGTTTGTATTCTCATAACAGGACGTGAATAGCAACATAGTCCATGTTTAGAGCTTTCAGACTGGTGGACTGGTGTCGAGCGCGTTTGTAGCCGTGTGACCGGGCCGTTGGTGTCCGGCAGCTCTCCTGTGGACTGGTGTCGAGCGCGTTTGTAGCCGTGTGACCGGGCCGTTGGTGTCCGGCAGCTCTCCTGTGGACTGGTGTCGAGAGCGTTTGTAGCCGTGTGACCGGGCCGTTGGTGTCCGGCAGCTCTCCTGTGGACTGGTGTCGAGAGCGTTTGTAGCCGTGTGACCGGGCCGTTGGTGTCCGGCAGCTCTCCTGTGGACTGGTGTCGAGAGCGTTTGTAGCCGTGTGACCGGGCCGTTGGTGTCCGGCAGCTCTCCTGTGGACTGGTGTCGAGCGCGTTTGTAGCCGTGTGACTTACCCCTTCCCAGTGTGTGAGAGTGAGTTGTGTGTGTATTAAGTTTGCCATGAAATTTACTTTTATATTTGGTCCAATGCTGAAAGCGGTGTTCAGTCTGTGCCTTGGCCGTCACCCTAGAAGCGTATCTGAGCATGCATGTACGAGTAAGTGCTCATGTGGCTCGTCTCAGAGTGATCACCAGCTTTAAATTAGCCCCCGATGAAGAGAGCGGGAATAAGGAGCGCTTCATCCTGGCAGGAGCGCGGAGGCCTCAGTACAGGTCAGATTTACTGCATGATAAGAAGGATAAGAGCCGCCAGCGCCTTCCACAGTGACGTTCCTGTCAGCAGAAAGTGACTCTCCTGTGCACTGAGCTGAGCCGTGATTACAGAGCGTTAAAAGGGCCCTTTTGCTGCAGCCCCCCCACCCCCACAGCAGACTATCCCCGTCAGCCTCGCCGCTGACCCAAGACGGAGCCCAGAGGCGAAACGCAGAGCCGGTGCTGGTGAGTCATTGGAGGTGGGGGGGTCCTGACCCATCATTACGAGAAGCTATGGCGGCCGTAAGAAAGCACGGCGTCTCCAGACTCCCATCATTCATTGCAGCGCTAGCCCCAGGGAGGGGGAGCTGGCACGGGTGGAAGGCGGAACGTTCCAGTACCTGCCTGCATTAATGGGCTGTGGGCAGCAGGCTTTGCGAGCGGCGATCATGCTTTGAATGGACAGATTTCCAGAGTGAATTCCTGACACTGAATGTTATGACAATCTCTAATTGAAGCACATTATGCTGCTGCTCTCTCACAGACCATCCCGTTATGTCAGCTGGAAATGACGTGATTAATTTCTGCTATATATCACATTGGATATGCACACTCTGCCTTTATCTTGAGATGAGACACCTGAATTCATGAAGAATTAGACTTTCTGGTGCCATCAAGTCAAAACGGATTAAGTTAAATTGCAGTTCAGGCTTTGAAATCCAAAAATGCTTATAAGTGTAGCTTCAGGTCAAAGGTCCTTATGTTAGGAGATAATCATTCAGGCCATTAAGTATCATGGGCAGTGAAAACAAAAAGCTCCCTAATTACCAAGGGCAGCCTGTCACGGTGAAGGAGCCCCCTCCTCTTCCTCCTACTCCCTGCCAAACTCGAATCTTTTCTCTAAGCCAGGCTTGACGTGAAACAAACCACAGCTCATGCAGGCTAACCTTCCCATGACCCTGGTCTCGGCACGGGCCTCGCCGGCTTCGCCGTAATGCCGGGATCATGGCTGCCCAAACCCCGACTCTCTCTTCAGTTTGCTTTGTCAGTGATTTTACTGCTTCCTTGACGATGACCATTTAAAAGCAGGGAGTCTTTCGTCTGTTTTCATACTATTTGGCTCGCATTACAAATCAGTTTTTTGTCACTAAGTTGCACCTTGACAGGTGCCTGTGATACAAGGCAAGACAGGTCTGTGGTCCAAGGGGAAACCAGTATCGTGTATCTGTGATGGAGATGTAATGTGCTGTGGAAAATCTGCTGCATTGTGGTTTACGTGGGGTTAATCGTATGAGGGTAATGTCTTGCATGTAGGTCAGTCTTCTTCATTGGTGGTGATGATTTTTTTGCCCAGCCACATGGCCATGTGTCCACGGTAACCGTAGTGACTGTTTGTATGATAGCTATCGACACCCCATTGCAGGCAGGAGCGCAGAGCTGTTTTTCAGGCCAGTGTTAAAAGCGGGATCCCGTTTGCAGACAGTGCAGCTTAGCGTTCCTGAGCCGATGGCTGTGTGCCCCCCCATCTCAAACATGCCCTTTTCGACTCCCTCCCCAGATCTGCCGTCTCCAGCAGCACCTGTCGGCCGGCGAGCATCAGCAGGACCTCTTCTCAGACCAGCCGGCCATGTTCGTGTCGCCGCACTCCCAGCCGCCCAGCCTGAGCCTTGCCGAGCTCATCCGGCTCTGCGGAGGCACCGTGTGCCGGAGCGTGAGGCAGGCCGGCCTCCTCATCGGCGACTACCCTGGCAAGAAGCCGTCGGGGGCGCGCAGACTGTCCGAGCAGTGGGTGCTGGGTGAGTGCAGCCCACAGCAGGGGCACAGAGCATGGAAGGAGCCGTCAGGACTCACACTCAGGAAATGTTGCATTCTGGGAAATGGGTTGAAATGTATGAATGGGATAGAATGGGTCAGTAGTGAAACCAGCACAGACACACGGCCCAGGGCAACATTAATCCAGCCATGTCTGCTGTGTTTTCAGTTCCTCAGAGCAACAGGACCTGCTAGATGACTGTAGTCTTCTGTTACCGTGAAACATGGGCTCACTGTGATAATGTGTGATTGTTTCTCTCCCGTCTGCCAGACTGTCTAACTCACCTCAAGCAGCTGCCCTATGACAGTTACGACCTAGACTGAAACCACCAGAGGAGGCGTGATGCCGCTGTACGGGAGGCGCCTGAGGGACCTTCAGATGCCTTCTATACTTTTTGTTGTATGAGAATGCTTCTCCATTCCGTTATGTGTTTCATCTCTGCATTTGAGCCTTGAACTCCTCTGTTACGTTTTGTTTTATAAATTCGTATCTTTCCGTTTTCTTAGATCAGTTTGTCATCGAGTGAAAGTCATTTTTTGCCTTTACTCCTAATTTCTTTGCAGTTTTACGGCTGCAGGCCTACTAAACGTAAAGCAGAAAGTCACGTCGAAGGGGTTTTTACTGTGAAAAATATGGTGCATCAATAATAAAAAAATTCTTGTTTAATATCATTATGACAATCATTTACATTGTTAGTGATTTATTTACATTAATGAATCCCCTCTGATATGATAGCAATCACACTGCACTGTCAGTTAATGGCAGATTTCACAGATTTCACTGTGCTTTGAGAATTAGTAGGATACAGTTAAAAACCATGAAGGCCTTGCCGGGTCTGAGGGTTGGGGTGTCGCTCTGCCTCGCCGAGGTTCTGGGGCATTTCTGCTGCTAACCATCAGACAGCTGCTGGTCACCCTCAAGGTTCACCCAGTCTGTCCAAGTCCACTCTGGGGTTGAGATGACCGCAGACTGTTGGAGTGGCGAAAGACAGCAGACTGTGTGATGCAGCTTGGCGAGACATCGCTGTCTCTGAGCGAAAGCACAGGCTCATGCTGCCCGGTTGCTCCGTGGATGACTTCACAGCACATTACAGGGTTTGCTGAAAGACGATAATTTATACAGCCTCTGAAATACATGCTGTAAAACTGAATAATTGCACAAATCAAATTATTGCTGTTATTTTTTTTTACTCACCATTATATCTTCCAGACACTTGACAATAAACATTCTTTTGTACTTATTTATAATGAATACTGGACAATTGCTTTCCTAATGCAGATTATCTGTCTGGCTCAAGATGAACATGACACTGTCACATTTCCTGTACTTAGAATCAAGACAACTAAGGTGTACAAAAAATTTGTCCTTCATCCAAAACTTGATAAGCAGGCTTAACCCTGAAAACTGACTTGTCTATATGAAATACCCGGCCGCAGTTTAAGAGCCTGCTAGTAAGGGCCGCATTACTACTAATCACTAAGGGGTACGCCTGATTCCTCGGGGACACATCGGGGCTCTGCGTGAGATTTGCGGGATGACAGTCACACCGTCCCTGCTCAGTGCCACGGTCGTCCGCTAAAGAAAGCACCGGACTGGAAAGGACATCGGGCGCTAGCACATCCTACCTCGGCACCTCCCCCAGCCTATCAGAGCACTCGGCTGTCGCGCTCTCCTAGCAACGGCTGCCACGGAAACTGACAGCTCGGCCAATCGGCGCCGAGGAGGGTAGGAAGTGCGGAAGGCGTCCTTTCCAACATGGAGGCCGCGGGGAGGCGTGCGTGACTTTGGAGCGGTCGGCTTTGGTCGGGGGGAGCTGTACTTTAACCGCGTTACCGAACTCACCAAAGGGAACCGTGCAGGTCGCCGGCCCGCTTTGGACCCTACAAGGAATGTGAAGGCGCCTGAGGCCGTGCGACTTAGCAGCGCCGCCCTTTGCTCCGCCTGCCTGTCGAGGTTAGCAGCGCGGCTAGCTGGTTAGCCAACCCTGGGCTTGGAGGCTGCGTCTCCCCGGAGGTTCCTGCGCACAGCTCGGCCCCTACGCTCCTGCATTCACCTGCTGCCCGGACCCCCCCAGTGTGAAAATGCTGCTGTCGCTGGTGGTCCACACGTACTCGCTGCGATACTGGCTCCCCGCGGCCGTCATGCTGGGTACTGCTCCGGCGTACCTGCTGACCTGGAGCGCCTGCCGCCTGCTGTCCGCGCTGCTGCCAGCCAGGGTCTACCACCACCTGGACGACGGCATCTACTCCGTGTACCAGAGCATGGTGTTGTTCTTCTTCGAGAATTATACGGGGGTGGAGGTGAGTGTGCTCGGCAGGAGAGGAATGCAGTGCGGTGACACAGGTTAAACACAGATAAATGCATTTTAGATAAGGGTTACACAATATAATGCCTAAACAGACATAAATGTGTTTCAAACAAAGGTTACACATTACAATATAGTGAATACAGGCTACACCTTGCAACATTTTTTATTAAGGAACATTTTTATTGTCTTCTTTCAAGTATGCCTGTCACATACTGGGTGCTTTTTAATTTCAGTAATTTTCTTCATGGATTATTATCGAATGATCATGCTTTGTGCAGGAATCCAGCGTTAGCTGTGACTGGAAGTGTCCTTGCTGTATGAACGGCATTGGCACAGGGCCAGTCTGCCGTCAGCTAAAGTTTGAGAAACGCACGGCAGTCCGTGGCCCCTCCGTGGCTAACATGCTTCACTTTCACCTCTCTGAGCACAAAAGCACTTCTGTCCCGAAAGGGGAAGTGAGAAATGTTCAAGTAAACATGCATGCTTCTTGACTGGCCTTGCCTGCCCGTTCACTGCCATAACAACACCCGCCATTGTTTTAATGATGAACTGCCCCGAACTCGCCTTCTTTTTGTTCTTTTTTTTGTACGGCTTGGGTGTGGTTCTTGTAATTGTTGCTCTGAAAACATCCCCGCATAAAATTCAGCAAGGCGAATTCCAGACAAGACAGAAAGGAGTTCTGAGGAGGTACGCCTAGAACCGGCCCGTGTTTCTGGTGCTGGGTGGCACTGGCCTGTGAAATTGCGGGGCAGCCATGCAGAAGCTGAGGTAGGCTGTGTGTCACCCTGCACTCGGGTGACGGCGTGTGCTCACGGTGACAGCGGTCAGCTGCTGCTCTGAGCTGCTTCTGCCACCAAGCTGCTTGGCCTGGTGTCTCACACTGGGTCATCGCGTGCAACCAAGCGGAAGCTCAGTTCACCTCACCTCCCCTGTGCCGGAACATTAGGAAGCGGTGAACCCACTGTCCCAACATCTGTGCGTCCAAGCGATCGATGAACACCTTTTTAATTAAGCAAATACAGCAAATGAAATTGAATTAAATGTCTCCATTTATTGGGGAAGTATTGGAAGATTTTTGACACCCAAATTCTGTTATGAGTAATGGTTGCACCATCAGAAAGCAAGGTATGCCCTTATCCAAACGAAAAACGGACAATATGGAGGACGTAGGGCCCTGTCTGGCCTCCTTTTTGCAGGCTGTGTAAAAGTTTGCCAGAGCTTCTAGACCAGTCTTTAATAACTTCTGTATTTATGCAGGAGAAAACATTGAAAGTGAAGGCAGGAACAGTCGCGTGTCCGAGGTGACTTGGCAGCCATGCAGGAGTTGCATCTGAGTCACTCTCCGTGTCGCAATCTGGCTGAACGTGAGGGTGTGCTGACTCTCTCTGCCTGTTCTCAGCCTGCTCTTGAGCAGGGCCCAAACATGTCAGCCCCTCGTTGATGGTTTCCCGAAAGAGATTCTGTGTTTTCCAGTAGAATGTTGATTGATGGACTTTAACCCCAAGCCATCGGCCGTATTTTGACAGGGTCCACGTTTGCACACGGTGGGCCCATCTTAACTCTCCACCTTGGTGTTCTGCTTGAACTTCTAACCATCAGAACAGTCCAGAGACCTAATAGCAATTTTTCAGTGGGCGATTACAGCAGGACGTAATGATTTATGCACAGATGGAAATGAGCACAGTTTTGGCAGGTCTCAAAGTGACATCTCAGGGCGTGTTGCATAATCCTGAAACTCCCCATGATCCGTGTAGGTCCCCAAAAGCTGCAGTGTTCATGCGTGTTCCGTGTCAGCTCTGATCATCGTGCAGCATTTTAGAGCTTCATAAGATGTCATTCTCATGGTGCTGATCTGAGAGGTTTGCAGCATGCGCCGTGTTCCGGCATTGCCCTCTGTGTGTAACTCTACGCTCCCAACGTCCTGAGACCTGTAACGCACACGCTGCACGGGGAGCTCCTTTGGGTTTGGACCTTGCGCCCGGTTCATGAGAGCCATCTGTAAATCCCGGTCGTGTATTTCATTTATCTAACCAAAGAGCTGTATTGTGGTGGAGTTGGAGCCGGTCCAGCTGGACCCAGACTCCAAAGGCTCGCTTTCTCTCTCCTAGACCGCAGGGCAGCTCATAGCACTGCTCTGTCCTGTCCTCTGTGTACAACTGACAGTCTGTCACCTTCTTTTGGGCAGGTCATCATTTATGGAGATATACCAAAGACCAAAGAGAATGTGATCTACCTTTCCAACCATCAGTGTACAGGTAGGCACCATCATGTTTGTCTCATAAATACTCGTGTTGAGTCAACATAAACTCACCATGATCCGAATGTCATTTACTCTCGGATTTCCCAACTTTGTGCTCCGTTTCTCTGGGTTTCCGTGGGACGGTGATACCCGTTGATCCTCTGAGAGGATGTAAGCACGCTGTAACGTCTAAGCCAAGATGCTGCCCTCTAATGCCCCCCACCACTGTGTCACCTGCCCAAAGTGGACTGGATCATCGCCGACATGCTGGCCATCCGGCAGGACGCCCTGGGCCACGTGCGCTACGTACTCAAGGACGGCCTCAAGTGGCTACCGCTCTATGGCTGCTACTTCTCCAAGGTGCGAGAGACGCCGAGGTGCAGTATAATGTCCTGAGCAAATGTAGCTGCTTTTACCCCCCCAACCCCCACCCCCACACACCGTTGCCAGGGTTTCACAAGCACTTTGGGGTTTTTGTGTTTTAGCATGGAGGTGTTTACGTGAAGCGGAGTTCCAGGTTCAATGAGAAGGCGATGAAGAAGAAGCTGTCCTCACAAATGAAATTGGGAGTACCCGTAAGTCTGAGGGCATGGCTTATCTCTGCCAGTCTCTATCCATCTCTGCCAGTCTTATGTATGTTTGAAGTAGCCTAATTATTTTTTGTCATACATTTTTTTCCATCTGTATTTACTAGCTTAAAAAATTATATTAAGTATAACAAAGTAAAGAGCTCTTGAATCGGATCAGAACTGAAAAAATGTGGATTGAACCATCCCTAATTTTTAGTACCTCCAGAGTCGAGTGCGGTGATAAATCATTTTTACACACCAATCCGACCCCCTGCGTAAATAAAGAAGCGCTGTTTGGGGCCCTGACAGACAGTGTGTGCCCAAATCCTGCTCACTTGACGGTCTGCATAAGGGCCCTGACTCCTGGCAGGTGGCATTTTGCCATGGCGCTCTGGTTGGTCCATGCCACCTGCCTCATGAATGCCAGTGCGGGCCTGTGGCTCTCCGTGTGACCCGTCTGGCCTGAACAGGAAGCATGATTGGGGGGAAAAGTAAAGAAAAACATACCATGTTGATATCCGGTTGTTTGCCATAAACATTCAAGAAAACAAGGGTGTGGGTTGTTTTTTTCCTGGTGGGAGGGTGGGGGGGAGCATCCAAACAGCCGTTAACCCGAGGCTGCGACATGGGGGCCTGCCTTTATGTGGCGGTATTGATCAAGCTGCCCTGTTTGGTTTTAAATTGGTGAGACCTTGTCCAGCAGCAGCCAGTGATCAGGTGCTTTGCAGAGGACACCCCCCCCCTCCCCCCGTAATGCTTACAGATTATCGCCGTTTTGCTTTAGGATGAGTGTGAAGTGTCCTGATCTGGGATCAGGTAGCAGGATCTGACTGTGGGCTTAGAGTAGGATTAGCCTGAAAACGCTGCTGTCTGTCTGCTCTGCTTTGTCTTTCGGACTTATGGTCTTTTCTCTTTCCCAGATGTACCTAGTGATTTTCCCGGAGGGAACTCGATACAACCCAGAGCTCAGGGAGGTGATCAACGACAGCCAACAGTTTGCTGCAAAAGAAGGTATGTGGATGGAGGGCTGGACAGATTGGGGGTGTGTGAAAGCATACTCCCCCCCCCCCCCAGAAGCAGCACATTTTCTTTCTGGCATGTTGTTATTGCACTTTAACAGACACCTTTCCTGACCTCCTCTTGTCCATCTGTCACTAAATGTGATGGTTTTCTCTGGAGATCCATGGGATCATTCTCAAATGTGAGTTTTAATCTGCAGGAGGCGCTGTCAGTCGGCTGTTCAGCATGAAACCTCTTCGGGGACATTCATGCGATATCACACACATAATAAGCAGACTTTCTGGAAGGTCACCCAGCATCTTCTAGGCAGACCCCGCTGAGGGATCGCATGAATGGGGCAACGTGATGGGCAGCCCCAGGGGTCAGAGGTCAGCTAAGCTTTCCCTCTTGGTGTCTCCACAGACCTGGCTGTCTTGAAGCACATTTTGACCCCAAGGATGAAAGCCTCATACATAGCCATCGACACCATGAAGGAGTACCTGGATGCCGTTTACGACGTTACTGTGGCGTATGAGGGCACCGTGGACTCAGAGGGTCAGCGACGGGCTGGCCCATCTATGCCCGGTCAGTACTGGAACCCGCCGTGTCCTGGCGCAGCTCTGTTCCGCCAGTGTATGTGCTGGGGATGAGGTCCGCGCTCACTTTCTGCAGTGTGATATCGGGATGGAGGACACAGAGGTCTGTGTCAGTCTGAAGTGCCTCTTCAGGATACAGGATTTTACACATCACGTACAGTTACACTGGTACAGCTTTCAGTGAAAAGAAATTTCTTGCGCAAAACGACAGTGTAGATAATGGTTTGATTATATCATACCTTTGGGTATGCTGCCTTATGGATAGGAAAACAAGCTCCGTCAGAACATGTTTTTGTTTGAGGGCTACGTTGTTTCTACATGAAACCAAATGTTAGTTTTTTTTTTACATTTACATTTATAGTAATTTTCATGTACACTACCAGTGCATGACCATTGAATAGGGACACATTAAGCACAAATCCCCAGCATTGACCATTAGATTCCCACAAGCTTAACTCATCGGTAAGATTCATTAATAACGAGCGCACTTAATCGGCGGTGTGATTCGCTGCATTTCTCCATGTAATTAAAACAGAAAACAAGCCGTGATAGAAACTTCCTGTGGCTTCCCGTAAACAGCGGTGTGACGCGCTGCCTTTTCGTGTCTGAGGGATGTTCACGCGCCGAGCCCGCGCTAAACAAACACAAAGAACAAAACATCCTGGACGCCACAGGAATAAGCAGCCGGAAAAAGCAGCAGCGAGGCCACATCGTCACACTCCCACTCGTGGTGTCGCACGGCCTGGCGGCGAGGATATCGGCTCACACGCTCCCAACAAACACAGGCCGGTGTGGTAAATAAGGGCGGCCCCACCACAACAGGGGCGGGGGGGCTTTTACTAGGAACCACAAAAATAGTTTGTGTGAGGATGACAACCCTCGATGTCTTGGCCCTAACCTGGATGAAAATTGGATTTTTGGGGGGTGGTTTAGTAAACAGTAACGTCATCAGGATCAGTCCTCATTAAGTTTTATTGCAAGGTACATTTTAAGCAACCTAATTAGTGACTAACTGTATATTGACAAAATTTGTTGAAAATCTATGCATTTTTTAAACTATTTCTGGTGACAGCGTGCAATAAAATTTGAAAAATAAATCTTCATATTATTGGCATTTTCTAATTTCACTGTCCAGCCAATCACACCTTTCCTTTTGTCCAGTGACGGTATCCACCATGCACTCTGATTGGTTAGCAATGGGCCTGGCTCCCTAGCGCTCCATTGGCCAGTTGGCCGTGAGGATAACATGCAGCTGTTTGGTGGTGTATGACGGTGCGGATTGTTTTGTAGAATTGCATCTGGCTTGTAATGTCCATGTGCTCACCCAAACGCATGCTGGACGGGTCCTTAAAGGTCTGCAGCCCCCCCCCCCAATTTGGAGGAATGCCAACCCCTTTAGGAAGGAACATCCAGACGGAACTCGTGCCTGGGCAAAGATTAAGGCAGCACGCGCGCCCCCACCTGCAGCCCAGTGCCGCCGCTGTTGAGGAATGTGCCTTTTACATGACGGGCTCTGTCCGCTCTGCCTCCCGTCCCACAGAATTCCTCTGTAAGGAATGCCCCAGGGTGCACGTCCACTTTCAACGCGTGGACCTGAAGGACATTCCGCTGGAGCCCGCAGTCTTCCGCCGCTGGCTGCACGGGAGGTTTGAGATCAAGGATAAGTGAGTATCCCGCCGAATCCTCTTTTTTTAATTTCCCGTAATCTAATACAAAGGTTGGGGCCTTTCAGAGGGTACATGGAAAGCGTGTTTGAGGGATTCTGTAGCTGGGGGGTGTCTGAGGTGATTCCTGCTGATTGTGCCCGGAGTGCTTGTGACTCACCCCCCCCACCCCTGGATATCAGGATATGACTGCAGTGCTGTGTCCATAGTGTGTAGCTCTGGCTGTACACTGAGCTCCACCCCCCCAACCCCAAGGATATGTAATCACAGTGCTGTGTCCACAGTGTTCAGCTCTCTCTGTGTTCAGGCC